GGCCACAGGGTGACGGTTGGCATGGATTTACAACAACAACCGGTGGTGCATCCACTGAAAATAAAGTATTCACGTAGTACAGGAAAATTTCCAGAGAATATTATAATACGATATACAAGTTCCTTACGTATAGGTTCACATCTCACAAATGGATCACCAGTCATTCTCGCAGGACAGCTGCATATAGGATTGTGATTGATAACTTGACATTGAGCTCTGATGCCACAAGTTCCTGGACAAGGATCTATGCATTTTTGATTACTACAAGCTTCACTTCTTGCACAATCTGAACTGACTATACATTCGGGTCTACAAGATGGTGGACTTCCAATAAATCCAGGAACACAAGTGCAAACTGCTAAGCCGTTCACTGTACGACACAGACTATTAGGACCACAATGCGAAGGATTACAAGGATCCTCAATCACTGGTTCTATCACAACAGTAAAAACAAATGTTAGATCACAAATTCTAATTAATACGTAACACAAAGGTAATGCTAGAAAAAGTACCTCTGAAGGGAGAGCAAAGTACAAATGCATTTCCGCTTGTTCCTGGTGAACAACTGCACATCGGTACATGATTATAAACATTGCATATTGCATTTTGTCCACAAGTTCCCGGACAAGGATCTTTGCACTTGTTTCGAACACAAGCTTTGTCCAGTGGACAATCAGTATTAAGAACGCACTCAGGGCGACATTCGACGTAAGGATCACCTTGATATTCTGGAAGGCACGTGCAAACACCGTCGTTACATTGTGCGTTTGGTCCACAGGGATATGGATTGCAAGGATCGTCGGCAACCGGTTCAGGAGCTGTAATATCCATTGTGATGTGAAACAACTGTCAAGAATACAAGTTTAAAGATCTAAAAGACGTGATCCTTACGTGGTGGCGGCTTAGGGAAGCAATTACTGAAAGGATCTCCAGTATATCCATCAGGACAAGTGCAGACTGGTGTATGATTAATAACATTACACTGTGCTAATATTCCACAGGATCCAGGACAAGGATCTTTACACTTTTCTCTTATGCATGCCTTGCTGCTTGGACAGTCTGAATTTATTGTACACTCTGGTCTGCAATTTGGTGGACTGCCAATGTAATTAGCCAAACAAGAACAGGAAGGTGCACCTCCGATATCACGACATTCAGCATACGGACCACATGGTGAAGGCACACATGGATTTCTAACAGGTACTGGTGCAGGTAGTGGCTCTGAAATATTTTGCAAGATGAGCAATGACTTGTGGATGATTTCTGGAGTCATTTTTAGAATTTTTATATTCTCACTTGGTGTTGGGAAACAACGCGTGAATGGATCTCCTGTGTATGTCGCCTTGCAAGTACATATTGGACTGTGATTTAGTACTGCACATTCTGTATTAAGTCCACATGGGCCAGGACAAGGATTTATGCACTTTTGATTAACGCAAGCTCTGTTGCTAGGACATTCTGAGCTCACTACACACTCTGGTCGACATCCTGGTGGACTACCGATATATTCTGGTAGGCAAGAACAAACACCCTGACCATTCACGACTCTACATTGACTATTTGGTCCACATGGTGATGGGTTGCATGGATCTACTGGTTCTGATATTACTGGAGAAAAATCGTTGCTTAATGCTACATAACTCTTATTGTGACTAACGAAAGTAGAATAGAGTTTTGAGAATTTACCAGGTGCAATTTCTTGATGACAATAACGGAATGGATCACCAGTGTAACCAGGGAAACATGTACATGATGGCAAGTGATTAATCACTTGACATTCTGCATTTAATCCACAGGTTCCTGGACAAGGATTCTGACACTTTGATCGGATGCAGGCAAGAGTTGCTACGCAATCCGAATTCATTATACATTCTGGACGACATCCTTCGTACGGGTTGCCAATATATTCAGGTAGACAAGTGCATGAACCTACTCCATTCTGTTCTTTGCAAATTGCATTAGAACCACATGGCGATGGTGTGCAGGGTGAAAGGTGTTCGACTGGTATATCTAAAATGAGGGTAATGAATAAAATCAAGTGACTGTTACAAACTGAAAAAAAATGAATTTCAATTTAAAATGGGGTCTAGTCTTACTTTGCTTCTGAGTACACTGCGAGAATGGATCACCAGCATATCCAAGAAGACATGCACACATTGGTGTGTGGCTCACAACACGACACTCGGCATTGATTCCACATGCACCTGGACAAGGATCCTTGCACTTCTGATTAATGCAAGCCAAGTGACTAGAGCATTCACTATTGCTAACACACTCAGGTCTACAGTTTGGTGGAGAACTTGTATATTCTGGTAAGCAGGAACACGAAGGCGACTCGTTGATTACTTGACAAAGTGCGTTTGGTCCACAAGGGGATGGTTGGCATGGATTAACAGGAGTTACAACAGTGTCTTCTATAGAATTTTTAACGAAGGTAAAAAATTAAAATATACTTCTAGTTTTGATTGTGTTATCTAAACAAAAAAGATCTTACGTATTGGTTCGCATCTGACAAATGGATCACCGGTGTGACCTCGAGGACAACTGCATATGGGATTATGATTGATAACTTGACACTGTGCTCTGATTCCACATGTTCCAGGACAAGGATCGATGCATTTTTGATTGCTGCAGGCTTCGTTACGTGCACAATCTGAACTAACGACACACTCAGGTCGGCAGGAAGGTGGACTTCCAATGTATCCAATAACGCAAGTGCATACAGCTTGACCGTTTATGGCACGGCAATGACTATTCGGTCCACAAGGAGATGGATTGCATGGATCTTTGATCTCGGGTTCTATTATAAACACAAATGAATTATTAGCAAGTTTGAAGACTTATTGATTTCTTTCTGAAGGTACCGATGAAGCTACCTGGTATTCGTGAGCACGAAATAAATGCATTCCCAGTCATTCCAATAGGACAACTGCACATGGGAACATGATTGAAGACATTGCAGATTGCATATTGACCGCAAGTTCCTGGGCATGGATCGACGCATTTATTGCGCAAGCAAGCTTTGTTCAAAGGACAGTCAGTATTCAGAACACATTCTGGACGACAGCCAGTGTAAGGATCTCCTTGGTACTCGGGTAAGCAGGTACAAATGCCATTATCGCAACGAGCATTTGATCCACAGGGTGATGGATTGCAAGGATCTACTTCTACAGGCTCCGGTGCTAAAAAATTATACGTAGTGTCAAAAAAAGTCTATAATCAGTCTTGTCTTTACGATATAATTTTACAAAAGAAGGTAGGCTTACGTGGTGGTGGTTTTGGATAACAATTACTGAATGGATCTCCTGTATAGCCATCAGGGCACGTGCACACAGGTGTGTGATTTATTACATGACACTGAGCCAGTAACCCACAGGATCCTGGACAAGGATCTCTGCACTTTTCTTTCATGCAAGCCTTGTTGCTTGGACAGTCAGGATTTATGGTACACTCTGGTCTGCAATTTGGTGGGCTACCAATGTAAGTCGGTAAGCAGGAACATGAGGGAGAACCACCGATGTCACGGCATTCTGCATATAATCCACAAGGAGATGGGAAGCATGGATTTTTGACTGGTTCAGGAGCTGGTAATGGTTCTGAAAATTGAAATTTTATGATAACCCTAACCTGATACCTAGAACAAGTACTATTAACCTTGCATTAGCTTCTTACTTGGAATAGGGAAACATCTTGTAAAGGGATCTCCTGTATATCCTTGTTTGCAAGCACAGATTGGACTATGGTTGAGGACCTCGCAATTTGTATTCAATCCGCAAGGTCTTGGGCAAGGGTTAACGCATTTTTGATTTATGCAAGCCTTGTTTGATGTACACTCTGAGCTTACTACACACTCTGGACGACATCCTGGTGGACTTCCTACGTATTCTGGTAGACAAGAGCATACAGCCTGGCCATTGACATTGCGACATTGACTGTTTGGACCACAGGGTGATGGGTTGCATGGATCAATGGGTTCATCTTCAACCACTATGAATGATAATTTGATCGTGAGACACAGATGTTTGCTATATAAATGTTGAAACAGAAAAGTTGGTTGTGACGTTACCAGGCGCAGGTGTAGGATGACAATAG